CCTAGTTTTTTTTCACTCTTTCAGTTCTTATACTAGTGAGACAATTTGATGCTTACACATGCAGGTCTAGTTCATTTCACTCAAGAGTATGGTTTTTCTGGTTTTTCTCCGGTACTGGGAACCGAACTCACGACCTTGCGCTTGCCAGGCAGGCGCTTTTTGCTGCTGAGCTAAATCCCCAGCCCCACTCAAGAGTATGATCTCTAGTTGTGACCATTTACCTGTAAAAGCCTTGATTTTATCCTTCTTTATAGCTGAGCAATATTCCATGTGCACCCATGTTCGTAGAGGTGCAATCTGTAATCGCTAAATTGTGGAAGCAAACCAAATGTCCATCCACTGAGGATTGGATCCAATGAAGAAATACAAACAGCAAGTAAATATATGAAAAAACTGTTCAGTATCACTTGGCATTCAAAAGATGCAAATTAAAACAAAGCTGAGATTACATCTCATTCCAGAAATAATGGCTATTGTTAAGAAAACAACCAATGATAAATGCTGACAAGGTCATGCGGAAAAAGAAACACTTATCCATTGTTGGTAGAAGAGTAGACTGGTGCAACCACTGTGGAAATCTGGGTGGAGATTCCTCAGAAAACTAAAACCAGAGGCTCCATTTGACCCAGCTATCCTCTTCTTGGTATCTTCCTAAAAGAATTAAAAACATCATACTTTCTTTTCTCACATTTGTCTTTTCCCTTCATTACTTTCTTTTACCCTCCTTTGTATAAAGGCAATACTGCCACATTTTATCACATTATAGTATGCATTTCCCTGACAGCATTTGAGACTCTAACACTGCAGTTTAGTTACACACAGATGGACTCCCTGCTAACGATCCTCTGAGGCAGAACTTGTTATTCATGGGTGATGGTGGCCCTTGGGAATCAGACCAGTGGAAGACAAAAGATGTAGGGAGATGAGACACAGGGATAACCTGACCTGTCACCCTTCCCCAAAGTGAAAGTGATCAACCTGACAAGGCAAGGAATTGTAGAGGTGAGATGCACCTTCAGAATTGTCCCAGCTTGTGATAAGTGGCTCAAGTTTATAAACTCTGCATGAGCAATTTTTGCTGTGGCCTTGGGTAGGAGGCGTGGTGTTTTTGTTTTTGGGGGGGTACTGGGAATCAAACACATGACCTCATGCTTGCCAGGCAGGCACTGTGCCGCTGAGCTAAATCCCTGGCAAAGAGGTGTGATCTTTATGGGTAGAGCATCTCTCCTGCTGGATGAGTCCCACAGAGTGGCTGACAACAAAGGGCTGTCTGCTCCCAGCATCGCCAGTAGCTGGCATGATAATCCCATCCCCCCGATGGCAGATGCAGATGAGGTAGGGGAGTGACAGTCACATCTGTCTTTCTTGTTTCTTGCCTGTTTCTTATCTCATGGTTGAAGGCTCCTCGAATGTAAGGCTTTCAATCAGCCTATGCAACATCATTTCCTCAGCATGTACAGTACAGTACTGTTTCACAATGAGTGAATGAGAAAACCAATAAATAGCTGTGGAGGCAATAATTCTTCATATTACCACTGAAGATAAAAGAGCATAACTGTACCTTTCACACTAAAATTTATTTTTTTTTTAGACAGTACTTCATTATGTGGTCCAGGATGGCCTTACACTCACTATGTAGTGAAGCTGAGCCTTGAATTTGGAGAGAGCCTCCTGCCTCAGCCTCTCAAGTGCTGGGATTACACAGATGCAGCACAATACCCAGGCTTAACTTTCTCATTGACTGCTCTTACCTCTATTCATGGATGAATGTAATTTTCAGTCAACAGAGACTTACATTAAAAATATCCTAGATAAAATAGGTGGAACAATATATATTTGTTTTTGAAAGTTAAGGATGTTGCAAAATCCAATGTTGAGGCACTAGAAATTCAAAGTGTGATGTAGCCATCGCTGTGGTTTGCAGTGGCCACCTCTTTGCTGTGTCACCCACTGGCCAAGGCAGGAGGCTGTGATGATTGGTCTCTTCTTAGGCTTCAATTCCATAACCTCATGGAAGCATGATTTCCTCCTCAAGTCCTACTGACAAATACTGTCACATTTTGGCAAAGTTGTAATTCATTAGGAAAGCAGTAAAATTGCAATGACATGTACCTTCTGAGTGTAAATTTCAAAACTTATTTGTACTTGTACATTATGACAACAAACAATTCTCGCCTTCTGTAGTACAATCCCCTAAAAGATGTGATATTAGAGCACATTGCTGTTTTTCAGGAAAAAGAATCCACGAAGACATCAAAGTGTGTATTAGATGTCCTCTTGCCCTTTCTAGACACAACACTTAACAGCCACAAATTAAAGGAGAGTTTTCATTTGGCTCATGTTTCAAGGGGTGTCCGCAAGGTCAGCCGGCTCCAAGGCAGGAGCATTACGGTGGCAGGGGGAGGTAGAATAAAGTTCATGAGTTCATATGGGTAGGATGCAGAATAGGGGAACAATATCAGAGAGAAAGGGGTAAAGGCCAGGTGAAGTATTCAGGTCACTCCTCCATGGCCCAACCAGCCACATTAAGAAGTGTGCCCCATCAATTCCCCCAAGTTGATTCTAAAGCCAATCAAGTTGACAATACTAAGCTGAAACTGTTGCTGAAATTGCTTCAGAGTGAATAAATGGACAATCTTTAAAAGATGCTATAAAATAAGAGTGAACTTAGATTCTCTTCTCATATCAAAGGCAAGAATAAATTTCAGGTGTTTTTAACCTCAATTGCAGGAAACAAGGCTAAAAATTCTTTACCAAGGTAAATAGGAGTTTCAAAATCAAAGCAGATTAAGTGCAGAATAGCTGAGAAAATACTGACAAACGAAGCCATGTTAAAGCTAAGCACTTTTGGGCATCTACTAAGAATTATGAACTACATCGAAATGAGCTTCACAGTGGGGCATGGCTCTAATGCCAGCACTCTGGAGGCTGAGACAGCAGAATTGCATTGAGTGCAAAGCCAACCTGGGCCAGAAAGTGAGTTCAAGGCCAACCTGAGCTGCACAGTGAGACCCTGTCTCAAAAAAGATAAAACACAAGAAATGACCTTCATGCCTGAAGAATAATCATTCAAGGGATTTCTATTTGAATTACAAAAGAAAGTGTTATAAATTAAGTTTTCAAAATGGACTGAGCAACTGAAATATTATATACACAGATTCATAACAGAGGAAAATTATTGTCCATAATATGTAAAAGGACCCTCAATCTCAACCTCCTAAGAGAAATGTAAATTACCTAAATGCCATGTACACCCACTGTCAGAACAAAGAAAAATGTTTTTGTTTTTTGTTTTTTGGTGTTTTTTTTTTGGTTTTTCTCCTGTACCGGGAACCGAACTCACGACCTTGTGCTTGCCAGGCAGGCACTTTTGCCGCTGAGCTAAATCCCCAGCCCCAAGAAAAATGTTTTGAGGATTAAGGAGACCACTGAGGAATATCTAATGCGAATGAACCACTTAGAAAATCTCTTTAGAACAATCCCAAATTGAAAAACTGCCCTACTACACTCAAAAAAGTACCCCAATTTTAAAACACTCATTTATTTCCTTCCAAACACATGGAGGAAAATATTCAAACAACTTCATTTACAATAACAGAAAAATATCAACCAAACTTTCATCACTATAAGACATGTTCCTATTTTTAATGTTTTACATAATGCAGACATTTAGAGCTTTGAAAATGAATGAATACAACCACTTGGTTGATTCTGTAGCACAGTAATAGGAATAGCAAATAGATATGGAATTTATTGGCTAAACTTAACATGGTCAAATGGAAGCATTTTTGTTTAAATAAATGGTATAGGGATGTAGAGAGGATTAAGAAAATGCATGGCATCTAAAAAGCGATAGTTTCATGTGGCAATAAATGATGAAATATTGGCAACCTAATACTGGCAGCATTAATTCATTGCTGTACGCATAGGTGCAATGTTATTTTGTCTTCTATATTTCCCACCCTTCTGATTGATTAGAAACACCCTGGGTCTCATCAGATAGTGCAGGCAACACCTTTCATCTGCAAATCTCTCTTTCCTAAATACACACCATTGATTGACTTAATGTCCTAAGTCAGCCGGACAGGATCGAAAGGTATATTGATTACCACCATTGAATGCACTACAGAGATGTGGTCTTGTTGACTTAGGGAAGAGTAGCTTATCAGTGGACCTAGAGATGGACATGCAGTTTTCTGTCTCTGGCATCCAGAGTGGAGTTTGACACCTGACAAAGGCATTTTCTGCAGTCCCTTGGTGAGCAGGATATCCAGGGAGACAACTCTTACAGGCACAGGAGTGCCAGGGGGACAACTCTCATGGAGAACTGCATGAAGTCCTACTGTTTTCCAGTAGAATCCCTGGCTTGGAAGTCCTTGTTATGAAAGACAATTCTCTTAATTGTCTGAGTCTATTAATGTTAAGTTTTCTTTTTCTTGTGAGCATTAAAGACATCCTTATTGGTGAATTTCAGTCATCTCTTCAAATCACTGTTCTCTAATTAGGCCAACTGGGAGAAAATCACACTGAGTACTATTTTTACCTCAGAAGGACAAAATTTGCAGGTATTGGGTCCTGTTATTAACTTCACAAGGCATTAAAGTTCACTCCTTTGGTTTCCAGAAGGACTAGCACTAGGCCTGACCATACAATCAAGAGAAAGCTATCTTTAATATACGATATAAAATAATTTTTCAAAAAAATATTGTCCCTGTTCCCATCTCCTGCTCCAATTTGCTTTACTAAGAACATGCACAGCCAAAATTTCTAAAGCTAGGGTCTCTGTGCAGTCTCTTCTTCACGGAATGCAAGCAGAAAATAAATTTTACAGTTGAAAGTATCTTGCAAATATTACAGACTGGAGAAAATGTAATATCAGACTTCAGTCTGTGATTTAATGAACTTGATCATTATATTTACTTATCATTTTAGGTGGTAACATATTTATGCACCAGGATCACTATTATTTTGACCTGACACAGGTCCAGGCCAATGACACATTATAGAAGAGAAGTTATCCTACCGGTAAGTTTCCACAAAGCTTTCTTCATGTCACCATTCCTCAGACTGTAGATAAAGGGATTCAGCATTTGAAGAACCACAGAATACATCAATGAAGCCACTGCTGTCTTTCTGGGTGAATCTGTCACTGCAGAGCTAATGTACACCCCAACAGCAGTCCCATAAAACAAGGAGACAACTGACAGATGAGACCCGCAGGTAGAAAAAGCCTTATACTTCCTTTCTGTTGATGGCATTCTCAAGATAGATAACATAATGTGAGTATAAGAAAACATGATTCCAAACACAGGAACACCAACAAAGATGCAAGCTGCCACGTATATTACTATGTTATCAATGAAGGTATCCGAACAAGTGAGCCTGATAATCTGAGCAAGTTCGCAGAAGAAGTGCAAGATTCTCAGCTCTGCGCAGAAGGACAGCCTCAGCATCATCAGACTGTGGAGCAGCCCATCCACACTGCTAATGGCCAAGGAGAAGAGAATCAGTAAAACACACACGTGGGTGTTCATGATGACCGTGTAGCTAAGTGGATGGCAGATGGCCACATAGCGGTCATAGGCCATCGCTGCAAGGAGACAGTTTTCCAAACCACCAAAAACCAAGACTAAACCGATCTGAGCAAGGCAGCCTGTGTAAGAGATGCTCTGATCCCGTGTTTGCATGTTCACTAGCATATGTGGGACAGTGGTGGTGCTTAAACAGATGTCATTAAGGGACAGACTGGAGAGGAAGAAGTACACAGGGGTGCGCAGGTGGGAGTCACAGCTCACAGCCAGGATGATGAGCAGGTTTCCCAGGATGGTGACCAGGTACATGGACAGGAACAGGCTGAAGACGAGGGGCTGCAGGTGTGGGTCATCTGTCAGTCCCAGGAGAAGGAATCCTGAAATAGCTGTTTGATTTCGAGCTTCCATGAGTGGATGATCTGATCTAAAATAAATGGTGAAAATATTATAAAGTATATAGACCAACAGCACAGTATAATAGTGAAATGAGTTAAAAATCCCATCTCACGGATATGAAATTTATTTCCACAACTTCAAGAAAATTTTCTAGTATTAATTCCCCTTTCTGAGAGATTTGTTTCTCTATTTTGTTAAGGTTTAAGTAATACACTCACAAAACTCTCCTCCCGTCACACAAACAAGAAAAAAACTAAATGGAAAATTCTTTTCTAACAGCCGTTGATTTGGGCAAGAGGCATATTTATCCCTCAATAAGAAGGACTTGTCCTTCATGAGAATATGAATCCAGCACAATGAAAGTCTGCTGAGAACCAGCCCAAACATCTGGGATGTGATGAAAATACAGTCAGTCTTTGATATCTTAAGCAATTTTACAGTGAATAACACATCACCAGTTATCACTCTTAGAATGCTCCCCTTATAGTTCAAACACATTTTTGTTCTTCCCACTTTCTGAATCAGTTTCAGAAGTCCTGTTTGATGAGTGCACTTAGTTTCACTGTATTGCTGCCTCAATATCTTGCATTGATTCAGACTTTTACCTTTCATGGTCATTTTGACTCTGGAAAGATCCAGAAGTTTTACAGTCCCAGATATGATAAAAGGATGTGGATACACTACAGTCTTTTTTTCCTTGTCTTTTTGAGACAGGGTATTGCTATGCAGTTCAGGTTAGCCTTGAACTCACTTTGTAGCCCAGGATGGCCTCAAACTTGTGAAAGTCTTCCTGCCTCAGCCTCTCAAGTGCTGATATTACAGGTGGGTAACAACTTGTCTGGCCTCTGCAGTCTTTTTATGGTGCATGCCTTTCCCTTCTAATGGATTGTACTTGGTAGGAATAGTCACTGCATTTTTGATCATGGATCACAATTCTGTAGCTTCCAGAATTGCTACACGAAGTGGCAAGAACAATGGGGAAAAAACACATTTTCTTGGATGGACATATAGCTCACTTCCAAAGTTTAGCTATTAGGAACTATGTAGCTATAAACATGGATAAGCAGGTACCGCTGTAATAGGATGCCTTTAACTCTTTTGGGAAGATACCTAGAAGGAGAGTAACTGAGTTGAATGGCATTTCTATTGTAAGTATGTGAGGAATCTCCATACTGCTTGTACTAGTTTACAATCCTATCAACTATACAAAAGGGTTTCTTTTCCCCTCACAACCTCACCAGAATTTCTATTATTTAATTGCTTGTGATGAACCTTGAGATCATAATGTTAAGGAAAACAGTCACTCACAAGCTCACATATCATGTGCTTTCTCTTATATGAGGAATCCAAAGTATAAAAATGTTACATGGCCAAAGATCATAGGAAACACACAGACAGACTTTTTTGTGAATGGGAGAGTAACCAAGGGATAGACAAAGGAGCATGGGTGAGGAGGGGCATACAAACATTTAGATATCTTATGAACATGCACCAACTCCGCACAACGAATATGAGCATTACATACTACAATATTGCACTAACAAAACAATATTTTAAAAACTTTAAGTAAATTTATTGGTACAATTGAGGTATATACAATGATCCCATTCTTCATAGAGAATTTGTACCTGTATATGCTATACCTTGATTTCTTTTCCCCCTTCCATTCCCCTCCCCTGCCTTCAACCCTTCCTCTCTTTATTTACAAAGTCTGGTTTCCATTTTATCCTTCTTTTCTCATTTTTTCTTTTCCCTTCCTTCCCTTCCCCTCCCCCCTCTAGTTTCCCTTTCCTTTTGAGCAATTTATCTCAATTTCACCATATCTCTTGTACAATTTAGTTGTTATTTACATTTTCAGGTTCTCAAAGCAGTGAGACAATGAGATACACATATATGTCTGATTTATTTCACTTAAGTGTATGGTCTCAAGGTCCATCTATTTAGGAATAAATGTCTCAAGTTTGTCTTTCTTTATGGCAGAGTAAGTCTCTATTATATAAAACAAAAGTACATTTTTATCCATTCATCAGTTGTTGTGCATTATAGTTGCCACACAAATCAATGGATGTAAGGCATCATATCAACAGTCAAAGACAAATTCACATGACCATCTCAATAGATACAAAAAAGGCATTTGACAAAGTCACCCATTCATGATTAAAGAAAACCCTACAGAAAATGGTTATAGATGGTTTTATGTCAATCTGACAAAAGCCATTTATGACAGACAAATAGCCAGCATCATACTAAACAGTCGGAAAACAAAAAACTTTCACTCTAAAACCAGGAACAAGACACGGATGTCCACTATCACCACTCCTATTTAATGTAGCTCTGGGAATATTAGCCAGAATAATTAGACAGGAAAGAGGAACAAAAGGCAGAAGAATAGGAATGGAAGAAGTGAAATTATTATTGCTCACAGATGACATGGTACCATACATAAAAGACTCCAAAAACTCAACCAAAGGACTTCTAGATTTAATACCCAAATTCAGTAAATGTAGCTGGGTACATAATCAGCACTCAAAGATCAATAACCTTTCTGTACACAGATAACAAATTCACTGAAGGAGAAATGAGGTAAACAAAACCTTTCACAATAGAATTCAAAAAGGGAAATATTTAGGAATCAATTTAACAAAGGAAGTAAAAGATCTCTACATTCAAAACTGCAACACTCTGAAAAAGGAGATTGAAGAGTATATCAGCAAATGCAAAGATGTCACTTGCTCTTGGGTAGGAAGAACCAACATAATGAAAATGGCCATACTCCCAAAACTGTTATGCGGATTTACTGCAATGTGAATCAAAATACCATTAACAAAAACCACGGAACTAGACAAAACAATCCTAAATTTTTTCAAAGCTTAAAAATGGAATAATTTTTACTCAATGGGGAGTAGTTTAAGGGATATTAGCGGTAATATCTCTCTCTCTCTGTAAAGAATATTTAAATTTAAATATTTACCGTATATCTGGATGGTATCTCATATATGCCATTATGCAAAGGTTGGGAGAGACTTGGAAGACTTTATCTTCATCAGCTTATACATATCTTCTCCTCTTCCTTTCTCAGACTGAAATCACATATTATTTCTAAAGTATTAAATAAAGAATTTCATGTTTGCTGTTTAGCTTCAAAATGGATGACTCTGAATATCATACCTAAGTATTGAAAATGGATGATGTGTCCTCGGGAAATTCAGATGGACTAAATGTGTGAGTGGGATATTGGACAGAAAATATCATCTATGAGATGAGGCTCAGGGGTTGCTTTCTCAGGAGAGTCCGGATGTACTTTGATGTTTTCGCTGACTGACCCCTCCAGACTTTACACCCCTGGGGGCTCAATATGCAAAGGACCTCATTAATCAATCTTTCTAACTCCCTAATTCCAGAAGGACACACCCTTAAAGGCTAAAACGATCAAGGTGAGGTGTTCCCGATGGGTGATTTCCTGAACCCTGAGCCCCAGGGCGCTCCATCGCTTGTCTCTATTGTTTCCACATTTCTCCATTTAGGGACTTTGCCCGAACAGAACATATAACACTTCTTTAATAGGTCACAATGTCATGTTTTATTTACAAATTAAGAATTCTCTATTTCATGATATAAGAAAGCTTGGCTCCTATACTAACATGTAGATAAGTAAGTGTAAAAGATGTAATTAAAAATAGCTAATTTTTTTGTGAAATGATAAGAAAGCACTCAAGGGTAAAAAAAAAAAAAAAAGAAAAGCAACACTCAGGTGTGTCTCTCCTTCTACAACACTGATTTTGGGTGAAATTTAATCTTTGTTCTTTATAATTAGCACAGAAAATTCTAATTGCTTTTTATAATGTCTATGTTCAAAAACTCTGCTTTGATTTTGACAAGCAGCTCCTTAAATTTTGTTACAATAGATGTCTTCACATGAGTTTAATTTCTGTTTCTTTACTTTATATTGAGGTGCTAATTAAACTACCACATCTGAAGAAGATAGCAGTGTAAATCTGTGGCCACCAATCAGTGAAAATACAACCAGAGAAAGACACAACCGAGAAAGAGAACTACAGACCAATCTCCCTACTGAACATAGATGCAAAGATACCAATAAAATATTCACCAAAGGTCCCCAGCATCCCTAGTTTTTCTGGGAGTCATACGTGCCCCTCAGTGGTCACGGACATGGGCTACTCAGTCCGGGATCATCAGGCAGTTGCTGGAGTGTACTCAGCTCTCCCAGGTCTCAGACACAAACCACAGTGGTATCAGATCAGGGACTGCCTGGCTCAGTGTCCCCAGGCAGCTCACAGGCCCAGAGGTGGGCTGCAATAGTGATGGAATATCAGGCCACCTCATAGATTGTCCCCAGGAAGTTGATGGAGTGTACTTGGCTCTCTTGGGGCTCAGCTGTGATCTGTAATGGTGGCAGAACACGGGCAGCAGTGTCTCAGGTCTCCAGACAGTTCATGTAGCATGCAGGGCCCAAACACAAACCGTGGTGGTTGCGGATCACGGACCACCTGATCCAGTGTCCCAGGCAGCTCACAGAGTACCAATGCTGAATTTTATGTGTCTGATTTATTTCCCTTAATATTCTGGCTCCAAGGTGCACCTATTTTTCAACAAATGGCTCAGGTTTACCCTCCCATGAAAGAAGGTTTATCATTTCTTCTCCATAATGGCATTCTCAAGACCAAGGACACAGTATTAACATACGACAAAATGCAGAGAAATGACTACCAGAAGATGTGCAACATACAGCATGAAAGGGTTTCATAATTCCTTCAGAGTCGCTGAGGCGCCACCTACTGGACACTATATGCCATGGCCAATATGGCACCAGCCCTTAGAGGCCATGTGCTAAGCCCCACCCTTCTTTCTGGAGTCAAATTACGACTTCCTACTCCTCTTTATGTAATATCCTGTTTCATTTTCCCACACTCCTGCCCAATGCTAGCCTGCCACATAAGCTAGCCCACTCCTTAAACCCTGCCTCTAGCCTGACCATATTTAACCACTGTCCC